TCTCTATTAGCTAAAAAAGGCCAGGAGTGAAGAGTTAACAAGGTTACATAAATCTGTCATTTTGTGGAAGTCTAGCATCTGATCATCCTAATTTGGGGCAAACTTCCTGTCTTGTTCCTGGTGAGAGGCAGAGCCCATATCTCAAAGTGGAAAAAACAACAAACAACAACAACAAAAAATAAATCATGTATCACCTTGTCAGACTCCCTTGCAGTTAAGGAATGGGCAGAGGATCTATTTACACCAATCAGATATACCTTCTCTGAAATGGAATTGGGGCTAGTGACAGAACATCGGAGACAATGATGAATTTTTAAAGGTAGCAGTGGCAGTTCAAGTTCTAGTTCAAGGGACAGCCATGCAAGCTGTATCATCTGCAGAACAGGTCTCCTTTTATGTGGTCTTTTATCTACAGGGATGAACTCAGGGTGCTTAACCACTGAACAACATTCCCAGCCATTTTTATTTTTTATTTTGAGACGGTCTTGCTAAATTACTGAGGCTGGTTTTGAATTTACAATCCTCCTGCCTCAGCCTCCAAAGAAGCTGGGATTACAGGCATGCTGAATTTATATTTTTTAATAAACTATTTCACTACTTATATCAGAAAGTCGAGTTTTGTTTATTGAAATTAAGATTTCATACGGGTAGAGGCTACAAAGATAGGGACAAGATCATAGAATGCCTTTTATGTCATAATTAAGGTGATGGTCCATTATGAAAGAATGGCAAGTCACTGGAGGTAGTAAGCTAGAAAGTGATATGGATATATTTTTCATTAATAATACCAGTCATAAATCACAAGCGCCTAGCCAGGCATGGTGGTGCACACCTGTAATCCCAGCTTCTGAGGAGAACAAGGCAGGAGGATTGCAAGTTTGAGACAAGCCTCAGCAGCTTAGCAAGACCCTGTCTCAAAATAAAGTAAAAAGGGCTGGGGATGTAGCTCAGTGGTAGAGAGCCTCTGGATTCAACCCCGAGTACCTGAAAAACAAATGAAAAAAATTCTAATAAATCACAAATGCTTGAAATATGGAAGGTAGCACATACAGAGACTGAGAATTAGGACTTGTCAATTTGAGCTATGCTGGAGTGGGAAGAGAGATGTGATTAAAGAGAAGGGTAAAGGATGACCCCCAGAGTGTCTAGAAGAATGGTTGTTCCTCAAACCGAGATTAATTGGAACCAGTTATATTACTTTGATTTTTTTTCTTTAACCTTTGTATTGTGAAATAATAGTAGATTTACATTCATGCTTGCAATCCCAGCAGCTTGGGAGGCTAGGGCGGGAAGATCACAAGTTCAAGGTCAGCCTTGGCAAAAGCAAGGTGCTAAGCAACTCAATGAGACCCTGTCTCTAAATAAAATACAAAATAGGGCTGGGGATATGGCTCAGTGGCTGAATGCCCCTGAGTTCAATCCCCATTACCCCCCCCCCCAAAAAAAAAAGAATAATATGGAGATATTCTGTGAATCCCTTACCCAGTTCCCCCCAGAGGTAGCATAGTGCAAAATTATAGTATGATATTGACAGGATATTGACATTGATACAGTCAAGATACAGATCACTTTCATCATTGATAAGTTGGACATCATCAAAATAAAAATATCTCACTGTGTGAAAGACCTTGTAAAGAGTCCCCGAAAGAGAAATTACAGACTGGGAGAAAATATGTGCAAACCATGCATCTAACAAAGGATTTGTATCTAGATTATGTAAATAACTCTCAGAATTCAATATTCAAAAAAATGAGCAAAAGACATGGATAGTCACAGACATTTCCCCAAAGAGGATATACAGATGGCAAACAAGCACAGGAAAGATGTTCAACTTCATTAACCATTAAAGAAATGCAAATTAAAATCACATGAGATGTCACTACACACATACCAGAATGGCTAACATTAAAAAAAAAAAGATAATATCAAATGTTGCTAAGGATGTAGAGAAACTGGATCACTTATCCTTTGGTGGTGGGAATGTAAGATGGTCTGGAACACAATTTTGTAGGCTCCTTTTAAAACTAAAAGCAGTCTAACTATATGATCTAGCAATTGCACTCTTGGATACTTGCTCCAGAGAAATACAAATCTATTTTCATGCAGAAATGTGTGCACAAGTCTCCATAGTAGCTTTATTCATAATATTTTTAAAAACCTGGAAATTACCCAAAGATCATTCAGTGGGTATATGGTTACAAATGTGACATCCATACCATGGAATACTACTCAGCAATAAAAAGAATAAGCAATCAATGCATACAATGTGGATGAGCCTCTAGGAACTTATATTAACGAACCAAACTAATCTTAAAAGGAAGGACACAGCCAGGAAAGGTGGTTACACACCTATAATGCCAGCAGCTCAGGAGGCCTAGGTAGGAGGATTACAAGTTAAAGGCCAGCTTGGGCAATTTAGCAAGACTGTCTCAAACTCATAGCTCAGTGGTAGAGACCCTCTGGGTCTAATCCCCAGTACCAAAAATAAACAAAAACAAGACAAAAAAAAAAAGCAACAAAACCAGGAAAACATATACTGCACAATCTCACTTATGTAGCACTCAAGAAATAACATATTTATAGAGATGGAAAACAGATCAGTGATTGCCAGGAGATGAGAAGGGGAGGAAGGTGGTTGTGGCTAAAAAGGGTGGCATACGAGTGTCTTTTGAAAATGATACAGGTAAGTATCTTGACTAGTTACACAAAGCTACACGTGACAAAACTGTTGAGGGCTCTATACACATATATACAAATGAGTGCATTGTTTAACTGGTGAAATCTGCATGTGCTCTAGGAATTGTACCAATGTCACTTTCCTGGTTTTGATATTATACTGTATTGTTTTTTGTTTTGGTGTTGGGGATGGAACCCAGGACCTCATACATGCTACCAAGTGCTCTACCACTGAACCACGCCCCAGCCCTGTACTACAGTTCTGCAAATGCTAAAATTGGGGGAGCCTGGGTGAAGGTGCATGTTTGTAACTATCTGTGAGTCTCTTATTTCAAAGTAGAAAGTTTTAAAAACTGGGCTTATAAGCCAGGCACAGAAAGACTCCACTTCCACTCATGTGGAAGCTAGAAAGGTTGATCTAAGACAGTAGACGGCAATCACCAGGGGCTTGGAGGAGGTAGAGAAAGTTTGGTTAGCAGGTAGGAAACCACAGTTAGAATTAAATTGTAATGTTCTTTAGCAGAGTAGGGTATCAGTAGTCAATGATTTGTGTATTTCAAAATAGCTAGAGAGAGGACTTTTAAGTATTTCTAATATAAATAAATGGTAAATATTGGTGTGATAGGGGCTGGGGTTATGGCTCAGGGGTGGAGTGCTTTTTTGCATGTGTGACGCACTGGGTTTGATCCTCAGCACCACATATAAAGATATTGTTGTCCATAAAATTTAAAAAATATATTGGTGTGGTAAATATATTAATAACCCTGATTTGATCATCCCACGTTCTATACACCTGTCAAAATATCACACTGTACCCCATGAATTTGTGCCATTATTGTGTTAATTTTTAAAAAGAATTTTAAAAATCATGCTCAAAATCAGTACGATCAGGAGTCACAGAAACGATGTGTCATTGTCTCACCACACGTTTTGAGACAAGTTTCAAAGCTGCAGCTGCTTATCAATGGCCAGAGTGCATGGAAGCCACAATGAGCCTTCTTTTCCCAGCAGTGAATTCACAGAGAACTAATGGTATTTGTTCCTTGTGTTGTCGATGAGTGTCAATGCCATCACGTGCTCGTTTTCCATTTTCACAGTGACAGGTTTGTGACTGGGTCACCTCACCCCACCTTTTCTTCCCCCCAGTGTGTGTTGGGGGGTGTCACGCTGAATGGCTGGCATTTTCCTTCCCGTGATTGGCAGAAGCTCTGTCAATCACTTTTGAAATGACCTGGTCACCTTTATAGTGGCCTAAGGTGCTGCCCTGATCCTCTAAGTAGCAGAATGTGTCTTCACGTGTAGGCATGGCCTCCCACAGCCCCAGGGGTCGAATTACCTTATCTGTCCTTGTAACCCTGCCCCTCTTGACCTTTTTTGGATGGAACATTCTAAAGAATGAGGGTCCCCCCAATAAAAGTTCACGTCCCACCGTGCTAGCTCTTGCGCCAGCCTCTCATGACTTTCCTTGCTCTCCCATTTGAGGCCGAGAGCAAGGAGCCATCCTGAAGCTTGATTTAAGGGTAAAATGTGTGTCTGTGTTTTATTTGGTATCCCAGGAAATTCACTCGAGCCACCTTTATTTAGCTCCCCGCACTGGTGTGTGTGTGGGGGGCAAGTGTGTATTTAAAAGTCCTCTCAGATCTCTCCCCATCTCCCTCCCCACCCTCCTTAAAGCTTTTTTTCATAACCCCCAATTTTAAAAATGGCCATTGCATATTCCCCTGTCTGCCCTATTTTATTTCCAAGATTTATGTAGCATCTTAAGTTTGAGCCTTCAGCCACCCTGGAGTGTCTCGAGTATAAGCAGCCAACAAATCTTAGGATCTTCTCCATGGTGAGTAACTTTGCCTTGGGGTGGGGGGAGAAAGAAAAAGAGAGCCATCAATTATACAGCCTGTTCTTTGGAAAGCCTGAGTGTCCATTTCTTCTTTCTCCCTTAAAGAGGGGGCCACTTAGTCATTAACTAATAATGTCAAATCATACCAAATGCCAAAATGACAGTACTTCTGAAGAGTGACAGAGACCTGTAAGGGTAACTTTGGCACGACTTTAAAGCCACGAGGCCTCCTGTGAATGTTTTATTGGAACAAATCACTTCCTCTCAGGTTCCCACAAAGTCTCAAAGCTGATGATAGAAGATAATGTCATTTCCTTCTTGTATGGAGATAAGTCAAAGATCTTTAAATTCCCTGAATCAGCCAAACAATGGTATATGAGAAGAGCAAAATTCATCCCCTAGGCTGGGCCTCTTGTTTATTTACCATTCATGGGTTCTTAGGGCTTTGGTAGCAACTGTAGCAATGTTCTATAGTAATGAGACATACCTACTCATCTTGGGAGAGAAGATATCTTGTTGTATTTTTGATATAACGCCTTGAATTCTAGAAGGCAAAAGTCAGAAAGGTTTATGTCAATGCTGGGGTGATGATGTTACAGCTCAAGTTCTAAATTCCAAGAGTGGCTTAGAAAAGGTTTACAGACCAAATCAAGGAAGTGGAGGTTTTTAAAAATACTGCAGATGGCTCCCCCCATCCTTTTTTTGAGGAGTTATTCTTAAATAAGGCAAATCAGCCACATGCAGAATGGGATCATGTACCCTTTCTTCACTTTACACACTGAGCTTTTTTTTCTTTTTCTTTCTTTCTTTCTTTTTTTTTATACTATGGATTGAACTCAGGGGCACTCAGTCACTGAGCCATGTCCCCTATTTTGTATTTTCTTTAAAAGACAGAGTCTCACTGAGTTGCTTAGCACCTCATTGTTGCTGAGGCTGGCTTTGAACTCACAATCCCCCTGCCTTAGCCTCCTGAGCCTCTGAGATTACAGGCATGCACAACCACTTTCTTAATGAATTAAAATACCAGGAAGATGCTACCAAATATTTTCTGAAACTGACACATAATAGCTTTGTTATCATGATGTCTTTAGCTGTTTGATGGTTTATGCCTCTTTGTTGCCTTAGATGATTTTCCTTTTGGCAATCAAAGTTCATTTCACATAATCTAGCCATTCAGAGGGTCCTTCTGAGTCATTCCCTAGGCTGACCACAGACAAACCCCATGTGCACCTAGGAATATAACAAGCCACGTGCCTGCCAGTCTATCTCAGATGCCCAGCGGTCATAGTGGGGTTTGCGATCACCAAGCCTCTTCAGAATGCCCTGGTTTTCCATAGTAATTCTCACCAGTTCGCGGTTCCTTGTTTCTCTGTTTAAGCTGAAAAACACAAAACCCAAGGATGAGTGAAGGAGAAAATGCTTCTTGAGGATGGGAGACGGGGAGGAGGTGAAGTTGCCATTCCGTTTAGTTCCAGGCTGCCCAAGTGCAGGGAGGAAAGAGTCCTGCAGTGCCCTGAGGCCCCAAAAGCAAACCTGTCCTCAATCCCACTGCCCACTAGAAGATTCTCCTTTATTGGTCTGGGATGGTACTTGGGCACTAGGCAATTTTACAAAGCTCCCCCAGTATTATAATGTGAAACCAGGATCGAGAACCTCGAGTTTAAATGAAGAGGAAAGGCTCCCAATGGATAAGCCACAAATGGCTGGCTACAATTTTTAGTCCATCTCATAACCCTCAGGTTTCAATTTTGTTTGAGATATACCAGGATAGAGGAAAGGCATCTTCGTGCACACACACCTCCACCAAATTCCTTCCTTTGCATACACTTCTTTTGTAGCTCTGACCACTTCAGATTGGTATTATTTACGTAGATGTCTCCCTTTCTCAGACTTTGAGTTCTTTGAGGTTAGAAAATATATGTCTTATTTCATCTATTCCTGGTGCCTAGCACATTAATACCTACTCAGGAAATATTTGTGGAACCAATTTGAATAATACTGTGTCATTGTCTCAGCTATAGTGCTATGGTCTGAATGTCTGTGTGGCCCCCAAATTTGCATGTTGAAATCCTAACCCCCAAAGGGATAGTATTAGGAGGTGAGACTTTGGGGAGATGATTAAGTCACCCTAATGGGATTCATGTCCTCATGGGAGAAGTCTGAGAGAGATCCTTTTGCCCCTCCCACTGTGTGAATTTACAGTGGAAAGATGGGTTCGGTGCAGCAGGAAGCAGCCCTTCCCAGACACCTAATTTGCTGGTGCCTTGATCTTTGGACTTCCCAGTCTCCAGAACTGTCAGAAATAAATTTCTATTGTTTATAAGCTACCCAGTATATGGTACTGCAGCCCAAAAGACTAAGACATGTGGCTATCATTTTACAAAAGTTTTCAGTGCCTTCTTGTGATGAACTCTGAATAAAACTCTGAAAAGCCTCTTAGATTATATTAGTTCTTTGATGCTAGAGAAAGTTCTCCATTCTCAAAGTTTCCATTCTCAACATGGTCTCTTTGGTTACTCTTCAAGATAATTTCTTTTAACTATTCCTCTTGCTCATGAGAACCCAGGGGGAAGGTCCAATTTGACTTCCTAAAAATGGAATACGAGCCAGGTGTGGTGGTGCACGCCTGTAATCCCAGTGGCTTGGGAGGCTGAGACAGAAGAATCGGGAGTTCAAAGCCAGCTTCAGCAATGGCAAGTCACTGAGCAACTCAGTGAGACCCTGTCTCTAAATAAAATACAACACAGGCTGGGGATGTGGCTCAGTGGTTGAGTGCCCCTGAGTTCAATCCCCGGTACCAAAAAAAAAAAAAAAAAAAGAAATACAGAAGAAGAACACTACCTTTTGGAATAGTATTCATTCCAGCAGTCCACCTGGGCAGGGCCCCGATGGGCATTGGCAATTTTCTGACACAGTTGCTTATTTTCATACTCGATTTTGTCGATTCTCTTTTGTTCACCCTGTTAAGAAACCCCACCCCACCATGACATCACTGCTGTACTTGTTCTCACACATGAAGGCTGAGCATAACTCTGCTCTGGGACTGTGAGTCACTCTAGAGAAAAGCAGAGCCTAGGAAAATGGAGCTGACGGGTGTGAGGAGGTAGAGTAAAGCTTTGAGATAGGTGGGTATCTAGGAGGTTCTGGGAAAGTGACTCTCTTTAGGGTAAAGATTTAAAAAATCAATATAATATGCCTGCAGATGACAAGAACAAATACCTGTAATCTGCTCAATTTTAAAATGTGATGTGTGTGCGCCATTGGAGGTTTGGTATTGACCACAGGCTTTACTAGAAAAGAGGGATAAAAGAACAATGTTACTGCACAGGAATCTTAGTGATGGCCTCAGAAAATCTACTAGAATAAACTCTGACTAATGAACTTGATTTATGACTATATTCTGGCCAAGATCTCCCCCGCCCTTTTCCTGGTACTGGGGATTGAACCTCGAAGCATTTTACCACTGAGCCACACCCCTAGCCCCCCCCCCCCCCCGCCCTTTTTAATTTTGAGACAGTGCCTCGCCAAGTTGCGTAGGGCCTCTCAGGTTTTCTGAGACTGGCCTCGAATTTGCGATTCTCCTGTCTCAGCCTCCTGAGTCACTGGAATTACAGGTGTGAGCCACTGCTCCCGGCTCTGAAGAGTTTTGAGCAGAAGTGAAAGAATGGTGAGGACATTTTACAGAGATAAAACAGCCTTTGTCTATGGACATTGAAGTCCTATCCTCTTTCTAACTTATTTTGGCTTTAAAGAGTTTAAAATAAGTGTTTCCACCACATGAAGTTCCTGGTGGAAGATAAATTTTGTTACTGATATTAACGTCCTCTTGAATAAACTCAGCAGAGAAGACCATATCACCCCAAAGTTGATAGCTCTATGGTGGACCCTTGGAGAACCGCTTATGGCAGCATCCAACCGAAACTATCCACATACCTATCTGTATTCTATTCCTGTGAAGTATGTAGTGGCCAAGGTCCAGCTTTTTCCTGAAAGTTGTGCTTTGCCTATGATTAGAGACGATAACAGGGTAGGCCAGATAATCCAGGGAATTGTTCATCTTCTCTTTCTAGTCTAACTTCAGAAATGAGGCAACTAGGTCTTCTGTGAGGTACTTAGCTGTCCCCCCGACAGGTGTCATAGTTATCCAATTATGACATCAGGGTCAGGTCTTGGGAAAGGAATAGAAGCAAGAGAACATGCTGGCCATCTCTAGGCATCTACTTTTGAAAACTTTGTTTTTATAATTAAATTTTTTTTATGTTGACATAAAATTTGAACATATTTGTGGGATGCAGAATGATAATTTGGTACATTTATTTGGTGTGTAATGATCAAATCAGGGTAATAAGCATTTCTATCTCCTAAAATGTAATTCTGTGTGTTAGGCTTCTATTTTTCATGCTAACCTAGGTCTAAGTCAAGATCAAGGGCAGGGGACTCCGAAGTTCCCCCCCTCTGATTTGTATGTAGATGGTAACAATGCTGGAAGGAAAAGAGGGTTGGGATGGCACAGGCATGGGCTGGGGATAAATTCATCCTTGGTTACATACCTTGGGCTATAAGCCAAGTAGTTTTTACTACAGTTTCCCTGAAAGGACAAGACCACAAGCTTTTGGGGGAGATGACAGATGGCCTTAATGATAATCTGATCCAATTTTATCACTTTCCAGATGAAGAAATTGAAGTCCAGATCAACAGCAAAGCTGCTCAAGAACCAAGGTAGTGGCAGAGCTGGGCTCAGGATGTTGAGTCCCTAAATTCCAGTGACTGGGGCTGAGGTTGTAGCTCAGTGGTAGAGCACTTGCCTAGCATGTGTGAGGCACTGGGTTGGATCCTCAGCACCACATAAAAATAAATAAAGGAATTGTGTCCATCTACAACTAAAAAATATTTTTTTAAAAAATTCCAGTGACAGTATTTGCCCCTTTGGAAAGTAGAATCTCATTTTTTTTTTCCATGAATGGGGGAGGGCTGCTTTCTTCCAGGACAGTATGCTTTTGAACTTAGTGGGAACTCAGCAAAAACTGAGCTACTATAGCTGCTTCAGGAAGGGCTGCAAAGGCGTCTGAGTGATGTTGACACTAGCATGGAATAGCACCCAGTGGATGCGTAACACATTCATTGTTGAAGGAAGGACTGACACTTACTGAGTGCTCACTATTAGTGCTGGGTGATTTCCTGTCACATTTAATCTTTCCAACAACACTAGAAGTTAGGAATTTAGTATCCCTTATTGGAAATGCATGGGACCAGAAGTGTTTGGATTTTGTGATATTTTATGTGATAAGGTACCCAAGTCTAAACATGACTATGTATATACACCTTCTATCCATAGCCTGAAGGTAATCTGTACAATATTTTTAGTGCGGCGGCATTTTGACTGTGGTGGGTCACAAGCGGTCAGGTGTGCAGTTTTCCACTTGTGGCATGTCCGCACAAAGTTACAGATTTTGAAACAGTTCAGATTTCCACATTAGGAGTGCTCAATCTGTGTTTTTAAAATTTTTATTAACACCGCTTCCTCCTTTTCTTTAGCAAACAGGCTTAGAGAGTTTTATTTCCCAGGGTCAGAATTCCAAGCCTGGATGCATAGAGTCCAAGCGCGATGTGGACTCTCAATGACCACTGAAAACAGATGTACCACAGAGTAGGGCTTCTTAGATTTTGGCATCCGTCTGGATCCCCTGGGGTCCTCCATCTATTCGATTGGCAGGTGACCTGTCTGGGCTTGGAGCAGATATTCAGCGGACAAGCCCGGGACGGGGGTGAGGGGTGGGGGTGAGGGAAGATGCCAAAACTTCTGGTCTGCAGCAGAGTAAGATTTCACAGTAGACTCCGGTGTCCCTGTCATCCTGAAAAAGCGACACCTGTTCCATGGGAATATTTACAGCGCCTTGAATTTGGTTCAGTGAAGGAAGTTTTTGAACTTTTCAGTTTACAAAGATACCGAAACTGCCTAGCCGAGGGTGAGAGAGGACCCTAGACACTCCGGAATGGCGGCATTTCCGCCCAGGGACGCCCTGCGGAGCGTGGGCCCGGCGCCGGGTTGCGCGTGTCCTTCGCAAGCGGAGCGCGTTGATCCCGTGCGCGCCGCACGGCGCTCGGCAGCTTCCCGCGCGCGGTGGTCCCGCCCCCGGGGCGGCTCCCGGCTCGCCAGCCCCGCCCCCTGACCCGGCCGCTCTCCCCTCGCTCGCTCCAGCCCGGGCGCGCAGGGCCCGGCCGCCGCCATGTCGGGCCCGTTCGAGCTCTCGGTACAGGATCTCAACGACTTGCTCTCGGACGGCAGCGGCTGCTACAGCCTCCCGAGCCAGCCGTGCAACGAGGTCACCCCGAGGATCTACGTGGGCAACGCGTGAGTCCCTCTTGCCGGCGCGGCATGGGCGCCCCTTCCCGAGCACCTGGCCCACCCGAAACTGGGGTGGGGACATTGTGGGGAGCCCGGGCGCTGTCACCCCTCCGGGAGCGGGAGTGGGGGCTGGGGACGGGGCTGGAATCGGTGCCCACCCCCGCGCATGGAGCTGAGGCGCTAGTTCCTGGCCGGCCGGGTCGCGGGGTGCGCTGAGACCGAGGGGTGCAGGCCCGGCGCTCAGCTGCCACCCTCTCGGGGTTCGGCTTTGGGCGGGGTCGGGCTACCATGTTCACTTAACAGGTGGACCTCGGTAGCCCTGTCGGTCTCCTGCCCGCGCGTGTCATGTGACAGCAGCCTGGTTCTGCAGTGAGGTCACCGCGGAATGTCTGCCTCCGCTTCTATGGCAACGGGCTGACGTCAGGATCTGGGCGTGGTACCGTTCCCGACCCTGCAGGCCAAGTTCGGGGAATTGAAATACCCCAAAAGAGAGAGAGAGTTGGGCCAGGGATTTCCTGGCTCCTTTTCTTATCTTCCAGATAGAATTTGATTTAGATGGGATAAATCAAAATCGTAAGCCCAATAAAGGATCCGAACCTTCTCATCACCAGGAAATGCATTTATTATTTATTACTACGTGTTCTTCTTATCAAATTGATTTTCTATTTTCATACTACTAATAAGAATTCCTCAGCAGCAGGATAGAACCAGGGTTAGCAATTCTGAAAAGTGCTGAATTGCCAGCAGGTCTACAGCCTGGGGAGGGCTTGGGTTGGATATTCATGAGACTCAGAGGACTCAGTTATCAAGGTCCTAAACTCCGTTGCCCCAGCCCAAAGACTGCATGTTAAGAACCAGTAACTAAACCCTCATTTTACACAGGAGAAAGCGGTGACCCAGAGTGATTGAGGGATTGTGAGGACAGGGCCAGGGTCTTGTTCATATGTATGTGGCTGGTCCTACACTAGCACCTGCTGCTTAATCTTAAAATTACTGCCACTGAAATGGGGGTTATTATGGACCTAGAAGGGGTTCATGAGGCAAGGTCCTAACCTCATGGGGACAGGTCTCATCTGTTCCATCACTTATTTATCACATTGAGCACTTGCTAGGTGTCAGACACTGTGCAATGTTCCTTCATAGTCGTGATGATAATAATGATAATGGTTAATGTGTAAACTGTTGAATTAACACTAGAGAAGGGAGATGAATGGGAATGACTCTTCTTTGTTCTTTCTGTCAGCCATTGCTTTATAAAACTGTTCAGTGTCCTGAGCAGGAACAGCTAAAAAGAATCTCATAGTGTCAGCCAGTGGCCCAATAATTGCAGTATTCTGAGGAAACCCTGCCTACTCACCAACTACCCAAGCAGCAAGCAGGCTGTCAGGGCAGTTTGGCACATGGATCTGTTGCTACTTCCCAAGTGGAAACCAAGGTTGTAAATATCTGGTAGTAGCCAGAGTGACAAAGGTGGTAGCCACTGTAAAAAAACGTATCCCTTGTCCTCTATTCAAATATTAGGGTATTGGTGTGTGTGGGGGTGCTCAGTGGGGTCAACTAACCATCTAGTGATGAGAAAACTCAAGTCCACTCCACTCCCCCCCCCCAGAGCTCCTAAGTAAAATTAGAGTTCCATCCATGTCCTTGATGGGCAGGGACAGAACCTTTGTGAGCCATATTCTCCATGTCTTCAGGTGTTGGAGTTAGTGTGGGCATGTGAAGCAGAGGAAGGTAGGAGTGAGAGCAGGGCTGGATGTCGGGAGAAGGGAGATCTCCTCCCAGCTCCAGATCAGCAGCCTGTGTGTGCACATGCACATCCCTGTGTCCTGTCCTATCCTTCTAGAGTTTAACCTCTATCAGGTGAGGGCATTTCCCTCCTTTTCTCCCCACAAGGCTGCTGTGGGGAGATCATGTAGGAAACACCACTATGATGTAATAACTGCTGTTTGAATTGGGGTGTTGTTGTGAGATGAAATAAAGGGACCCTTTGACCATTCAGATCAGGTATTTTGTAATCTCCATAGTTCTGTTGAGACTCCTTATTCTCCAAGTGCTAACTCACCCAAGACAGCTTCAGAAACAAGTTTAGAGGAGTGTGGCAAGAAGGATCGCTTAGTGAGACAGGGAAGGGGCTGCTTGGCATATGATGATTTCATTCTTTTTCACTCATTTACCACATATTTACCCAGCACATACTATATGCCAGGCACCAGAGCAAGTGCTGGAGAGACTGACCTGAAGCAGACATAGTTCCCTTCTCAAGGAGCTCACAGCCTCCAAACAAGTACAACCACATGTTGGAATAGTAACCCTTGCTGTGGAGTCAGGCTCCATCAACAGAATGGCTCATTTAACACTTATAACTATGCTAAGCAATTGGCACCATTACCATTCCCATTGTACTGAGAGGGAAATGGAGGCAGAGAGAGGTGAAGTGGCTTGCTCAAAGTTGTCTGGTAGGCTGGATCCAGACCCAGGGAGTCTAGCTTCAGAGCTGTTTTTATTCACTTGCCTATGTCACCATAGAGAGAGCATGTTGCCATATGGAATGGAGGGGAGGAAATAGTGCAGAGGGTGGTGAAAGATGAGAGGGTGCATGTCTACAGAGAAGGCTGGAAAGGGTAGCAGAGGGATAGCTTGGGCATGAAACCACCAGTCTATTTGGGGAAGCTGCTGGTAATTGGATATGGCGAGAGTGAGGAGCAAGGTCATAAGATGAGATTGTAGAAGCCAGCTGGGTCCAACACACAGAGGGTTCCTTACTTTGCCAAGAGGCTCAGATGCTTCCCCTCCTTTCTCCCCTGAGGCTGCCAGTTGGTCAGTTAATCATAATCTGCTCCTGTCTCCTCTCCAGGTCTGTGGCTCAAGACATCCCCAAGCTGCAGAAACTGGGCATCACTCATGTCCTGAACGCTGCTGAAGGCAGGTCCTTCATGCATGTCAACACCAATGCCAACTTCTACAAGGACTCTGGCATCATCTACCTGGGCATCAAGGCCAATGACACACAGGAGTTCAACCTAAGTGCTTATTTTGAAAGGGCTGCAGACTTCATTGACCAGGGCTTGGCTCAAAAGAATGGTAAGGGACCTGCTGCTTAGGAACAAATGGAAGGCAGCTTTGACATGGACTGTTTTTCTAGAAAGACCCACAGCAGATTTCCTCTGGGAAAACCTTTCCTGTTCCTTGTGGTGAATGAATGAGAACTTCAGGTTTCTCTCTGCTTACCTGCTGCCTTTCAGGTGGCCCCCACACTGTACAAGACATTCAGCTCTTTAACACAGTGGCAATGTCAGGTCCTTGCATTGGAAGCTTTTGGCTGAGGTTGGTTTCTAGCCACTTACCTCTCCACCCAATTCAAATAGCTCTAATAATGAGGAAAATCTATCCTTGTTCCTGATAAGAAGTCTTCAGGCAAAGGAGCACCAGGACTAATTGATGACACAGCTCAATGGTGGTGTCTGGACTAGGTTCTTTCTTCTGCTACCTTCACTGTTAGGTACACCCCTCTGGTCCCAAGATGGGAGCTGGCTACCACACCCCAACTAGACAGAGTGCAGCAGATGAGCAGTCATTTCTTCCTTTCATTTCTGTCTTTTTAAGAGCAAACAGAACATTCCCCCGAGTTCCTCCAGTGGGGATCTTCTCCCATCTCATTGGCTAGGTACTTACATGGCCAGGGGAAGTGGGGCAGCCATGACTGGCTTAGGTTATGGGTCAGCCAGTCTTTAATTCTTCCTGCAGTCCTCAGACATAGGTGGGACTAAAGGGGAACTACAGAGGGGCTGGTGGCCAGGCAAGGCATGCCAAGGAGAAATCCTGGGAGGCCACAGGATGGATGTCAGTTGAGTATTCTGGGCACCTTCCCCATATGCTTTTAGCTCTTTCTCTCAGCTCTGCCCATTGCCTCTTCCTCACTCTTTGGGGAGGGGGTGACCCCAGGAGTCACTATCAGCCTTGTTTCTAATACTTCTTGGGCCTAGCAGCCTCCCTATCCAAATAATTCCCAGTGCACAGTTTCCTAGACCACTGGCTAGCACACATTCAGGGCTCAAGAGAGTTTTGTTGACTGGGAAACTGCAGACTCTACTATCAGGCCTTCTTCATGGTCACTGTCACTCCCTACCCTAGCCTGCCCTCTTTCCTCCTGCTCTGCTGAGTTTTTCACCTGGTACTGATGGAGAACAAGGGGCCCAGTTAAGGCCCAGTTAATCACTAATTAGTCATCCATTTAGGGGACTCGGAGTTCTTTGACTTTGTTTCCTCTTTCCAGTCAACCAGGAAACATACCCTGGCTTCTTTTGATCTCCTGCTGTAGTCCATGTGGGCTAGATCTTCAGTCTGGAAAGCTCTCCCTGCCTCCCCACTCCTCTGTCCTCTAGCAAGCTTTCTTTCATGCTGTAGGGCTGAGCATAGCATCCTCTCTTCTGTGAACCTGCCCTCAAGCCGGGTCCTCTGTGTCCCTTGTCCATCTCCCCAGCATCTGATGTAGCATCAGGTACATTCTGTAGTTGGTATACTGCAAATGATTACTGAACAAGTGACAATGAATTCCGTGGGCTCAAGTGCCAAGTGTAAATGGTTTCAAGACTGGGTGAGTGAGTCAGCAGAAATATACTGGTCTCAAGGGACCAAGGACCAATCACTAAGAGAGCCAGATGGGATGGCTGTACTTCCAGCTAGGAAGATCAAGAGAGGCTGTGTGGAGGGGCTGGCATCTGGGCTGGACTTGGATGCATGGTAGACTGTGTGCCCTGGGCATAGAGCATGTTCCAGTTGGCAAGGTGTCTGCTCTGCAGAGGGTCCTGTTCCCAGGCAGGGCAGGGGAAGCTCCACTGTTTTGTTTTGTTTGTACTAGGGATTGAACTCAGGGGCACTTAACCACTGAGCCACATCCCCAGCCCTTCTTTGTATTTTATTTAGAGACAGGATTGTTTAGGGCCTTATTAAGTTGCCGAAGCTAGCTTTTAATTAGCAATCTTCCTGCCTCAGCCTCCCAAACTGCTGGGATTACAGGCGTGTGCCTTGGTGCCTGGTGAAAGCTCCGCTCTGAATGCTGTAGGTATAATGGCCAGGGAGTGAATGGGCAGGAAAGTGGAGGCTTCCCACCTCTTGATTTGGGAGGCTCTGGGAAAACAGAATGGTGTTCTGGGGTAGGGAGAGGAGGGCAGAAGAGCTGCTGTTTGACTCTGGGCCAGCAGATTTCCCTCCAAATAATACCAATGTACTGGATGCCACAGGGGACTTCTCGTATTGGTTAATATTTATTGTGTACTCCGGAAAACCAGCCAGTAGACTGTGTATGAGTATACACACACACACACACACACATATATATATATACACCCAGGTAAGGTGTGTATATGTATATATGCACACGCACACACACACACACACACACACACACATATATATATATATATGATTTATCATATTTATTTATTATATAGTAGGCCCCCTTGTCCTCAAGGGATATGATCCAAGACCCCCCCAGTGGATGCCTAAAACTGCAGACAGACATACTAAGCTCTGCACATGCTGTGCATTTTCCTGGGTGCCCTGTAGCTTGCCACATAATACCAGAGTTCATCTGCCTTTCCATGTTTTATCTTCTGGTGCCTTTTTTGCATCACTACTTTTGCTGTTTGAGGTCATTAATTTTTTAAATTAAAAATAAGTAAAATAAAGGTTACTTGAGCCAGGATCGGTGGACATGCCTGTAATCCCAGTGGCTCGGGAGGCTGAGGCAGGAGGATTGTGAGTTAAAAGCCAGCCTGAGCAAAAGCCAGGCACCAAACAACTCAGTGAGACCCTGTTTTTAAATAAAACACAAAATAGGGCTAGGGATATAGTTGAGTGGTTGAGTGCCCCCGACCTGGCACTCACAAAAAAAAAGTTACTTGAACACAAGCCCTGCAATGCCATGACAGCCAACCTCCCACTACTAAGTGACTCACCCTCAGGTTGGATATGTTGTGGATATGCTGGAGGAAGGGGTGATTCACGTGCTGGGCAGGAGGGTGTGGGATGGCATGAGACTTCATCCCGTTACTCAGAACTGCACAGAATGTAAAACTTAATGACTTGTTTATTTCTGGAATTTTCCATTTCATATTTCTGACCATGGTGGACCATAGGTAGCTGAAACTGCAGAGCAAAACCACAGATAAGGGAGGAATACTGTATTATTTTATATATATATATATATATATATATATATATATATATATATATATATATATACACACACACACACATTCAGATATGTATGATTTATTAGACTGTCTCAATTTATCAGAATTGTCTCAAGTGATTATCAGGTCAGGCAAGTCTGAAGTCTGGATAACAGGGCCATCAGAATGGAAACTTAGGCAGGGTTTCTGTGTTAAAGTCTTGAGGCAGAATTACTTCTCTAGGAAACCTGATTTTGTCCTTAGGGTCTTTAACTCATTTGGTGAGTCCAACCTACATGGTAAGGGTAATCTCCTTTAAAGTCCTTTGATGTAGATATTAATTACAACCAAACAAAACCTTCATAGCAACATGTAGTCTTGTGTTGTAACAAGCAGTTGGCCACTTCAGATTAGCCAAACTGATCTGTTTAACCAGCAAGTTAAAATTTAATTAAACCCAGGTTCAGATGGCTTCAGAGAGTTGGGGTTTAAACTCCTGTGCTGACAACAGAAATCTGGGACTGGTGACAGGAGGGCCAGTAGGAGTTTTCTAGGCAGCCAAGATGGAGAGAGAGAACAATACATGCAAAGGCATTGAGGTGAGAAAATGGCAACAAAGCAGTTGGCTTTAAAAGCCACCCTTTATAGACTAGACCCTACCCTCAGGATAATGACAGGTCATTTTGTATTTTAAAAAGATCCTTCCAGCTGCTGGGTGGAGTGTGGATTGGCAGTGGTGAGGCATGATGGAGAGAGCTGCTTTTAGAGGCGTTAAGGGGCACAGGTGAGAGATGACGAGGACTGGGCGTGATAGCCCACATCTATAGTCCCAGCTGCGGCTGCTCAGAAGGCTGAGGCAGGAGGATCACTTGAGCCCAGGAGCCTTAAAAAAAAAAAAATGTGTATATATATATATATGAATGACAGGAACCTGAACTGAGCACTCTATGTGGGGAGGGGGGCAGAAATAGAGAAGGGCCTCCTGCGGTGTACTGAGACTTTGCTGACAATGACCTCTGGCCTCTCCTCTTTGTTCTTCCTTCATTCCTTCACCTGTATTTTACTTATTAGTGACCTCGAACAGCAAAAGTAGTGATGCAAAAAAGGCCCCAGAAGGCAGGCCAAAGGCAGACTGGAGTGCTGGGAGAAGGGGAGCAGGGGTGATATCAGAGGAGGGCTGGACTTTATAGGACCTCAGGGCCGCTTGGAGAGCCAGGAGAGGGCAGAATGTGTATATGTGTGTGTTGGTTTTGTTTGCATTTATACTTGACATCTGTCTTTTTAAAATTGTTTTGTTGAAATACATTTAGGTTTCTGTAAGCTACAACGTTAAATGAGACAACTGAATGAGTTTTGACACATGTGCACACCTGTGACAGTAAACATAGCCATCACCTCCACAAATTTTGCATGTCCTTTAGTCCTCTCCTGCCCCTTTGCCCTGTATTCCCAAGCACCTGCTGATTTGCTCTCTGTCACTAGAGATCAATAAGCATTTTGTAGGACTTCATATCAACAGAATCAGACAGTGTGCATTTTTTATTTCAAGCTTCATCCATGTTGTGTCACACATCCCTGGTCGATCCCTCCCTTCTACTTATTGCTGAATAGTATTCCATTGACTGGATACATTACAGCTGCTTATCCATTCATCAGTTGGTGGATGTTTGAGTTCTCCTCGTGTTTCACCTTTGATTAAAGTACAAAATATACACAGAGAAGGTCCATGTCACAAGTATGTAGTTCTGTGAATGGCACACACCCATATATCAGCTTCCAGATTAAGAAAAAACAGGGCTGGGAATATAGCTGAGTTGGTAGAATGCTTGCCTCACATGTGCATGATCCTGGATTCAATCCCCAGCACCACACAAACAACAACAACAACAACCAAAAAAGCAGCTAGCCTCTGCAACTTGGGGAGACCCTGTTTCAAAATATTCAAGAAAAGGTTGGGGTCTGGGGTTGTGGCTCTGAGGTCGAGTGCTTGCCTAGCATGTGCAAGGCACTGGGTTCGATTCTCAGTACCTCATATAAATAAGTAAGTAAAATAAAGGTCCATCAACAACTAAAAAAAATATTAAAAAAGAAAAGAAAGGGTTGGGGATATAGTTCTCAGTAAAGTGCTCTGGGGTTCAATTCCAAATACTACAAAAAAAAAAAAAAATGGAAGAAAACATAACCAGTCCCTTACATCCCTGGGAAGCCAGCTTACATCCCTCCTGATCCTCTGCCCCTTCCTCACTCCCTCACTCCAGTCTCAAACAGCACACGTCAGTCATGCCAGCTCTGCACTCTGTGGAACCATATTTATTTGTGTGCTTCATACATGTTGTTTCTGGTCAGTGGTAGATTGTTCATTTGTATTATTTACCCATTCTACTGTGAAGGGCCTGCGGACTCGAGTTTCCAGCCTGGGGCTTTTATGAATATGCTGACTGCAAATTCTGATCCAAGGGCTGGGATTGTGGCTCAGTGGTAGAGCTCTTGCCCAGCATGTATAAAGCACTGGGTTCAATTCTCAGTACCACATATAAATAAATTAAATAAAGGTCAGTCAAATTCTGGCCCATGTCTTTTAGTGAACACGTGTGCACAGTCCTGTGCACTGGGGGTCCTCAGTGGCACTGCTGAGCCTTAGGGTGGGTGTTCAGCTTGAGGAGCTTCTGCCCCAGCTTCCAGAGTGGCTGTACTCTTTACACCTTGCCCTCCCTGGCTATCCAGAAGAGTCCTTGTTGTTCCACATCTTCACTGGCTGACTTTTTATTTTCTGTCTTTATCATTTTAGCCATTTTGGTGGCACCCAGTGGCATTGCATAGTACTTTTTTTTTTTTTTTTTTGAGATTGGACCCAGGGCATCCAGATCCAGCATCATGGGCAAGTACTCTACTACTAGTAGAGCCACATCCCCTGCCCTTTTTAATTTTTTTATTTTGAGACAGGGCCTCAGTTGCTAAGACTAGCCTCAACTTGTGGTCCTCTTACCTCAGCCTCCTGAGTACCTGGGATTATAGGCATGCACCACCATGCTCTGCTACATAATGCTTTTTTTTTTTTTTTTAAGAGTCATGTGGTCAGATGTCCCCAGCTCACTGAATCTCCCCCGTTTCTTACAGGCCGGGTGCTTGTCCACTGCCGTGAGGGTTACAGCCGCTCCCCAACACTAGTCATTGCGTACCTCATGATGCGTCAGAAGATGGACGTCAAGTCTGCCTTGAGCATCGTGAGGCAGAATCGTGAGATCGGCCCCAACGATGGTTTCCTGGCCCAACTTTGCCAGCTTAATGACAGACTAGTCAAGGAGGGGAAGTTGAAACTCTAGGACACCCCCACAGCCTCTTCTCTAGAGGTCTGATGGGAAGGCCCTGCTTGAGGGTGTCCCAAGCCGCCATGTTTAGGAAACAGTTGTACCCTTCCCCCAGAGTCACAAGGCACTTGCCTACATGTCTGTCCCAACATGGCCCTGGGCCACTTCCCCCTATCCCCAGGGGGCCTATAAAGAAGCTTGCCAAGGAGGGCATTCTTGCTTCCTGATTGTCCTGTTCCTGTAATTTATGTCCTCTTCTTCAGGTGGGCACTTGGGAGGGGAAGGCCTGTGGCATGCATGCTTCTCCATGACCCAGGGCAGGAGGTCTCTGGGAATGTGAGGCCTGAGCCACTCACAGGGGCTCCTCATGACCTCCTTCCCACAGCCTAGATTCTCTCCTAAGTGGAGACCTCAGCACCTTGAGCCCAGTAAAGGCACTATGCAAGTGTGGCCCCCTCTGTCCCCACCACGTCTGTCACCTGGTTTCATCACAGCCTTCCACACCCTGCTCATGCACAGAGGCGCATCATGGGGTCTGAAGCTGGGCTGGGGGTATCGTCAGTTAGTGGATGGAAATTCCCGTGAAGAGGCTGCTTTTTAATTATTTCCTTAGGATTCAAGATATGCCACACAAGGAGCCTGCTTGGGTGGGCAAGCGCGTTCTCTTGGAGGACTCCCCTAAATGCATAGAATTTTTTTAAATGTGCCTCTTTGGAAGGCCAGAGTTCTGAATGCACTGCTTTGGAATATTTCCTTGGACTACTCTGTGACTTCGCTTGTTAGGAGAGCTATGCCTCGGGGCACGGTTTTATTTTTCTTTTTTAGAAAACAGGGTGTTGAGATCCAGCCTATTTAAAAACCCCACCATTTGGAGAATTACAAGGGTTTTGTCTTGAATTATAGTGTTGGCAAGCCCAAGCCACTCGTGCTAACTGCTTTTTTGTCCCAGTTGCTATTCCAAGAACCAGAGGAGGAAGTGAGCCAATTACAGCGAGTGTGCGGGGTGAGCGCGTGGGGGCGTGCCTCTCAGACCCGCAGCCAGAGGACAACAGGGAAAGAAGAGTTCCACTTACAGGTGGCTCAGACCTCTCTGGTGCCCTTGCAGGAGCCCTGGAGTGATGCAGCGAGAGAGAATGAGCCATGGTGGAGCATCCACCTGGGTCCTTCGCTGGTGGCAGAGCAAACATGAAAAGGACTTTTTAAAGATGTTGTCAGAGTGCACACTAGCACAGTGTGCGCACATTTGCCACAAGATGGGAGTGTGTGTTGAACTGTCTTGCTGGGACTTTACATTCTTGTTATTATGGAAAGTAATGCAATGCTGTGTCTTCAGGGTCACTCAGGGCAGAGAGGTGGTCCTCAGCACTGCTCCCAGCGCCTACTCAGAGAAGTCTCATCCAAATTTCTGGAATTAAACTCTGGTTTTGAGTGTCAGATATATTTAGGGTGTTGTTCTAGTGGGTGTACCCAGCTCCCCGAAGTCTATTATAAATTTATGTGGGATCACTTGCAAGGATTTGCACAGGAGTCTTGCTTAAAGTGAAAGAAGTGTCAGGGACTTTTGTTGAATATTTAAAATTCAGCTTTAAATTTAAATTCTAGCAGTGTTCATGTCAAGGTGGGGAATGTGCCTTTTTCAGTGACTAGGAGCTTCCAGCAGAGATGAGAAGCAGGTGGCCTAAAAGCCTCACTCCCAGGGGTGCAGATCTCTGATCACAGCAGGAACAGTGCTGCGCAGCCAGGACTGTCCCCATCCTCTTTTTTTCTATAAACACAATCGCCCTGAACAACGGGGATCTGTTGTCCTTACCAGATATTGGGCTGTCGAGAGAGACCCACCTAAATGGAGTGGTCATCCCCTGAGCTGTGGACCTCACATCACAGTTCTCACTTAATCTAACTTGATCCTCATGGAAACCCTATAAAGTTGACAGAGCTTAATCTAATCATACATTGTTACCATTTTTTTTTAAAGGAACCTGTGTTCAAAATGATTAAGGGCATAACCCCTAGTGTCCTTAAGGAGAACGGAGGCAAGATTTTAGGTTTGCTGTTCCAGGAAGCTGGATTTGTTCTTTCCTGTGATACAGCTCAAGAAGGGAACTCCCCAGGAGTGTCCAGGTTCACAGCTCACACCCTTGACCCAGCCCTGGAGAAGGAAGTGGAAAGTATAGGTCCCCAATGGGGTTAGAATGTGCAGTTATTCTTCCAGGTGATTTGTAGCAGCCCTAGGCTTTCTGGGTTCTGCTTCTGGAAGAGGCTCAGGAATAGGCTGTGATTACCCCAAAAGACAGTCAATTCTTAGGCAAAAGCTGCAGGTTGGCCTGGCTAATCAACTAGCACCCCTTGCGGGCTGGCCTCTCTGGAGGTATGAGGTGGGGAAGGCTATTGGGAGAATTACTGCCTTTCCTTTGGGGCTACTTTGCTGAGAACTTGGGATTTTTTTTTTCATTGTCTCTAGGCCTAGAAACCCCATATTTACTTTAAGAGATTTAGCTCCTAGTTCTTTAAGTAAAATACAAGTCTGTTGTGTAAGAGCCATCACATGCCCAGCCGTGGGTGGGAGCTGTTCTTGGAGAGCTTTTACCCCTGGGAGGTGATGGAATGGAACTCAGGGTGTCCCTCCCCCTCCCCAGACCTGATCCCTTTCTTTGACTAACAGAGCCCCATCCAGGCAAGATTAGAGGGCCAAATTGAAGCAGTCTACCTTTCCATAGGCTGATCTGTTTCCCTGCCACTCTGAGTTACCTTGAGAGAATATACTACCACCTATCAAATGAGGGGACTTCTCTAGAAGACCATGTGGTCTCTTTTGGCTCCCACATTGTAGGGGCCTCTAAGCAAGAATTGCCATTTGAAATTTAGCACCTCCAGGAAATTAGAGGGAATGCATAATACTACAATGGCCAGCAGGTGGCGCTGTGTTCTACCCATTGTGATGCATGGTTCTGAAAGGGAATGTTGTGCCTTTTATGTCACAAGTTCATAGTAAGATGTTAACAATGTTAAGATGCTAATGTTTTAACCAAAATAAGCACTGATCTTAAATATTAAGAGATGAGCATTTCCCGTGGGAAATTTTATTTGTCATAAAACTAGTGTCAGGAATCACTAAAGAGCCAACAAAGATGGTCCTTCTGTGTCAAGATTCTGTCCTGACTGGAAATAGAAGCCATCTTAGGGTGAGAGCGAAGACTGGTTGGAAGCTTAACTTTTGTTCCATTTACCTCCTGCCAGCTTTTAGGATAATTTGATTATAAAGGAGTGGTCTCCTGGAAGGGGAAGGGGAGGTATCAAACTGGTTTAAAAAAAAAAAAAAAAAAGTCAGGCTGGGGGTGTAGCTCAGTGGTAGAGCGCTTGCCTAGCATACGTGAGGCCGTGGGTTCAACCCCCAGCATCTCTGTCTCACACACACAAAAAACGCAAGTTTAATGTCCGTTGTATCACCAATCAGTGTTAAAACACTAAAATTGTAACCAAAATAAATGTCTTACCTTACAAAGAAACCGACTTTGTTGTCTTCCTTATCTCAGTTTTACTTATATGCCTTGACTTTGTTTGCTTTTTCTGTCTTTAGAAACTATTGTAAAGGGGCTGGGGCTGGGGCTCAGTGCTCTTGTCTGTTATGTGTGAGGCACTGGGTTCAATTTTCAGCACCGCATATAAATAAAGATCTATCAACAACTAAAAAATATATTTTTAAAAAAACCTAATGTAAAAATTAGCCCTCCTTAGTTAGAAGTTCAATGATGATTATATTTATGCAGTAGATATTTGTTGGACATCTTTCTAGTAACAGTTCCTGAACCATGGCCTTGCGAAGTGATGCCATTCATAAGGAGTTCAAATGCACAGAAGTTCCATTTCCAAAGCATATGCTGAAATGGGTTAACCTAAATGAACAAGTGGTGTTCAGTTCCTTAAAAGTGGATGTGAAACACATTTGTTTAATGTATATTTCTAAATGATTAAAATACCTACTTTAAAACCATGAGACATCTCTCTGGAAATCTGGGGTTCAGAAAATCTAGTTTGAAAGCCCAAGATCTAGATTTAGATCCAGGTTAGCATTCCTAGACCACAGAGTACTTGGGCCACCAGCCTGAGGAGAAAGGCAGGAAGGAGAGGGCAGACAAGCCTCCTACTTGAGCTGGCCTCAGGTCAGCCCAGCCAGCAGGATGTACCAGGAAGGTGTGTGTGGCGGGGGTGGGGGTGGGGTGGGGGGACAGACAGTCTCCAAAGGCAGCAGGGATGGTGGCAGTATGTGTGGCAATGGAGGAGTGACTGGTCCCCACCTCAGAGGGCCTGGTCTTCCAAGTAAAGTAAAGCTAAAGTTTTACCTTATTAGGGTTTGGGCAGCCATTGGTCTTTTCTAAGGAGAATGAGTGACAAGCTTTGGGGGGCTACTGTGCCCCAGGAGCTGCTGAATAAGCAGGGAATTTTCAGCTGTGCTGAGACCTTGAACTTTACAAAGAACTACTTCTTTTTTTTATTTTTTGGGTGCTGGGGATTGAACTCAGAAACACTCAACTACTGAGCCACATCCCCAGCCCTATTTTGTATTTTATTTAGAGACAGGGTCTCACTGAGTTGATTAGTGCCTCACTGTTGCTGAGGCTTGCTTTGAACTCGTGATCCTCTTGCCTTAGCCTCCTGAGCTGCTGGGATTACAGGTGTAGGCCACCACACCTGGCACAGAGAACCAATTCTAAATGCAAGTAATGAAGTAATTTAGACATCCATCAGTGCAAGCAACTGCCTAGAAACTGATGCCTTCCCAAACAAGATATTCCCTTTGTATCACTGACCTGAGGGAGCACAGTCAGTTTTTAAATGTAGTCAATAAGGAGAATCCTTCATTTCCATTAATTAGAGATGGGCCTCATGAATCAAGTAGAGAATGAAACCAGATGACCTTCAAGATTCTATGATTCTGAGGAGTTGAGGTAGCATAATTTACTTTCCAAATTTGGCCTGGCCTTCAAAGTCAGATCCAAATGCCATGTCTTCTCATGACCTCCCCAGAGGGAGAGATGGTTTTCTCCTCTGAGGAAACAATGCTTTGTCTTTAAAAACAACAATAAAAACAAACAAAATCTGGCGAAGACATGCAACAACAAGAACTTTCATCCATTGCTGGTGTGAATGCAAAAGGGTACAGTTGCTTTGGAAGACAGTTTGGCCGTTTCTTACAAAACTAAACATCCGCTTACCATATGATCCAGTAATGTGCGCCTTGGTATTTTTCCAAATGACTTGAAAATTGATGTCCACATAAAAACCTGCACACAAATGTTTACAGCAGCTTTATTCATAATTGCCAAATCTTGGAAGCAACTCAAATGTCCTTTAGTAGGCAACTAGGTAAAGGTGTGCATATCCAGACAATGGAGCACTCCTTAGCACTAAAAAGAAATGAGCTACCATGGTGTGAAAGTACATGGAGGAAATGTAGATGTGTGTTACTAAGTGAAAGAAGCCAACCTGAAAAGACTACTCTGCTGTGTGAGTCCAATTTTATGGCATTCTCGAAAAGGCAAAACCGATGGAAACAGTTTAAAGAATCAGTGGTTGCCAGGAGCTGGAGAGATGGGGGAGATGAAAAGAGGTGGAGCACAGAGAATTTGAAAATATTTCGTATGATACTACAATGGTGGTACTGTCACTATATATTTATGTGAACCCACAGAATGTGCTGTATCAAAAGTGAACCCTGAGCCCAGTGCGGTGGCGCATGCCTGTGATCCCAGTCATTTGGGAGGCTGAGGCAGGAGGATCGCGAGTTCAAAGACAGCCTCAGGAAAAGTGAAGCACTAAGCAACTCAGCGAGACCCTGTCTCTAAATAAAATACAAAATAGGGCTGGGGATGTGGCTCAGTGATTGAGTGCCTCTGAGTTCAAGCCCCAGTACCCGTCCCTCCCCCCCAAAAAAAAGAGTGAACCCTGAGCCAGGAGCCATGACACCTGCCTGTAATCTCCCAGTGGCTTGGGAGGCTGAGGATCCCTAGTTCAAAGCCAGCCTCAGCAACCCTAAGCAACTCAGCAAGACCCTGTCTCTAAGTAAAATATAAAAAGGGGCTGGGGATGTGGCTCAATGGTTAAGCACCCCTGGGTTCAATCCCCCCAAAAAAAGTGAACCCTGAGCTAGGGATATAGCTCAGTGGTATGGCACTTGCCTACTGTGTAAAGGCCCTGGGTTCTATCTCTAGCACTGAAAAAAAAAAAGTGAACCCTAACATAAACTATGGACTTCAGTTGATAATGATGTGTCAATATAGGCTCGTCAGTCATAGCAAACATACCACTCCGGTGGAGAATGTTGATAATGGGGGGTGTGGGGAGAGGGGGCATAGGAGAATTCTCTCTACCTTCTGCTTAGTTTTGATGTGAACCTAAAATTGCTCTTTAAAGAAATTAAGTGGGTGCTGGGTGTGATGGTGCCCACCTGTAATTCCAGTGGTTCAGGAGGCTGAGACAGGATCACAAGTTTGAGGCCAGCCTCAGCAACTTAGTGAGACATTGTTTAAAATGAAAAATATAAAGGACTGGGTATGTGGCTCAGTGGTAAAGTACCCCTGGGTTCAATCTTCAATAGAAGGGGAAAAAAATAAGTGGTTTATTTTTGGTTTTGTTTTTTGCAGTGCTGGGAATCAAACCCAGGACCTCACACCTCACACATGCTAGGCAAACACCCAGTCCACGTCTTTTTTTTTTTTTTTTTTTTAAGCATCAGAACCTTTTCTTAGTGATACCAATCACTTTCTACCTGGTATTGGAGTTATTTGGATGAAGAACTTTCTTCCCTGGTAGCGGGAGCTTCTGGAGGGGACCACATGTCCCCTTTACCTCTTAAATGTTTGACAAGTAACGTATTGATAGGTTGAAAAAAATAATCTTTCTAGAAATTAAAGTATGACTATTAAATTTTTTTTTAAAGCCAAAACTCAAACCCAGCTTTGTCAGCCCTTTGGAAAAACATGCTGTTATGGACTGCTTTGTCTTTCCCCAAATTCATGTTAGATTCAACCCCAAGTACTTCAGATTCCTTACTTGGAAACAGGGCTGTTGCAGATGTAATTAGTTAAAATGAGGTCATTAGGATGGGCCTTAATCTGTTATGACTGGTGTCCTTATAAAAAGGGAGCATTTGGACACAGAGAAGTTCATGTGAAGATGAAGGCAGAGGACAGGGTTATTCTTTTTTTTAATATTTTATTTTAAATATCTATGAATACAATACCTTTATTTTTATTTGTTTTGATTTTTATGGGGTGCTGAGGATTGAACCCAGTGCCTTGCACATGCTAGGCGAGCGCTCTACCGCTGAGCCACAACCTCAGCCCCAGGGTGATTCTTCTACAAGTCAAGGAACACCAAAAACAGTCAGCAACCCACCAGAAGAAAAATCAGGGGCATCCAGCAGATTCTCCTTCACAGCCCTCAGGATTATCAGTCCAGCCCTTGGCCTTGGACTTCTAGCTTCTAGAACTAAGAGACAATAAACTTGTGTTGTTGAAGCCACCCAGGTACGGTACTTAGTTATAGTGGCCCCACAAACTACCACACATGCCCACTTATATTTCCCTTGTGGAACTGGAGACCTGGCTGGGCTTCCTGGAGAATAGCCCTGTGATAAGTAGTAAGACCTACCAAAGGAACAAGTTATTGATATATGGAGCTTGGATAACTCTCCAGTGAATTATGTTGATTGAAAGAAGCCAATCTCCAAAGGTCACAGCATTACTTGACTCCATTTACATAATATTTTTGAAATGAGAAAATTATGGAAATGGAGATTAGGTTAATGGTTGCCAGGGGTTAGGATCAGAGACACAAGCGAGGGAGAAAAGTGGGTGTGGGTTATAAAAGGGCAACAGAAAGGACCCTCGTGGTTACAGAGCTGCTGTCTTTCACTGTGGTGGTGGACAGTTGAATCTACACGTGATAAACTTGTATAGAACTAAATATGCACACAGGCCCACAAGCCCAGGCACACATATGAATGAGTACAGGAAAACTGGGGTGATCTGAATAAGATTGGCAGATTTTGTCAATATCAATATCCTGGTTGTAAGCTGGGCACCATGGTGCATGCCTGTAACAATCCCAGCAGCTCGGGAGGCTGAGGAAGGAGGATCACGGGTTCAAAGAAAGGCCCTAAGCTATTCAGTGAGACCCTGTCGCTAAATAAAAAATATAAAAAGAGCTGGGGATGTGGCTCAGTGGTTAAGTGCCCTTGAGTTCAATCCCTGGTGCCTTTCCCCTCCCCAACAAAAAGAATCCTGGTTGTGATAGTGTACTATAGTTTTGCAAGATGTTACCAATGGGGGAAAGTGGGGAAAACTTACATGGAATCTCTCTGAATAATTTTTTACCAGTATGTGTGAATGTACAATGATCTCAAAATAAAACAATTAAAAAATTACTTCATACAAGAATGTTCACAGAAGTCTCGCTGAGAACAGAAGTTTGGAAATAACCTAAACTCACCACAACAGAGACCAGCTGAAACCTTGGGGACTGAACTCCAGGGGATATTGTCTAACTCTGAACAATGACAAGCCTGGGGACCCAGTAGATACTAAGAGCCACCAATGGCTCAACATTCAATGAAAAAACGGATGACAGATGTTGCAGCAGGTTCTCCCTGAGCCACCCTGTGAAAAGCTATGACTGTCCATTGGCAGAGAATAATTCAGAGGGTCAGTGGGATGGGGACCATTTAGAAGTCAAATGGATTCATTCTCTCTCTCTCTCTCTGTCTTTAACACTAGCTCAGTTCCAAAAAAAAAAAAAAAAACCAATGAAGTGAAATAAAATCTGAGTTTGGACATCCTCCAGTTGCTGGCTTTTCCTTTCATCTCCAGCAGGTGGCAGAAGCGTTCCAAGAATGGTGTCATCTCTGCCAGGGTCTGTGGAAGGTCCAATGGTTCTCACCAGCAGGTGGGGGCTCTGAGCATCAACCTGTGAACTCAAGGACCCCCGGGCATCGGAACTGGCCTCTCTGAAATTCAGGGCAAGAAGGCAGTTGTCTGGCCATGACAGGGTTAAGAGTCCACATTCCAGAACAGGGGAAAAGGAGGTGGGGGGCCTGGGGTCCACAGACAAAGGGAGGGGGCAGAGAGGGCCAGCTTCTCACAACATCCAGGCTCTGTTGGGAGAGATAGATCACCCCCAACAATGGCCACAGCTGTTTTTGTCTGCCCTGAGGAAACTGACTTAGGAAGCAGGTATCAGTGAGGGCCCTTCCTGCAGGGGCTTCTGTCTGGCTTGTAAAACTGTCAGAGCAGCTGCATTCATGTGTTGGGTGATGGATGATGAAAAGAAGGAGGACAGTCAGCAGGCCGCAGATGGACACAGTGACTTACAAGTTGAGGCAGGTGGTAAAGGCCTTGCGGAGGCCCTGCAGGTGGGGCACGCTGATTCATTGCCCAGTTAGCATACCAAGGCGATCAGGCCAAGCCTTCTTCCCAGCCTCCCTCCAGGGCTAGGGCGGCCTCCAACTACGTTCCCCAATGAAAGCTTCCGCTGGCCCTCCTTTCTTTTCTTGCACCTCAGGTGTGAACCTTCCTGCCCACACCTCTACCCCTCCCTGTGTCCCTCTTTCTACTCCAGGGTTTCTTTGTGCCTAGATAGCCCTGGGATGCCTTCCTGGAACATACCCATGGTATATACCACTAAAGTCTTCCATATTGAACACAAAGCTGGTTTTGAAAAATGTAAGGGGTTGGGAGACAGGGAAAAAAAATGTCAGCACTAAAAAATGCTGGCTTTGGCTTTTGCTAAGAAAAGGGATTCTGTGTTGTCCACTCCCACCCAGGGCCTGGCCAGGGAAATAACTGCTTGGCACATCAGCCTGTGAGCTGCTGTGAGCCACAGTGAGAGCCCCAGCAGAGAATGCCTGTGGTAGGTGTGCTGGGTCCCTGAGGAGCAGGAAGTGAGAGTTCCACTTTTTATTCCATCACCAGAGCCCTTGTGACCTTCTCCTCCTCAACTTGTCATCAGAATCCCACCATCTTGTCCAAGTGGGCACCCTTGCTGTGATCCTCCAAATTTCTCTCTTGACTTGCAGAGAAAGCTCTCTTGGTCAGGATAATCAGTGCCCAACCTCATGGAGATGAAATCAATGAGATTTCTTTAAAAAGCAGCCTTCTTGGGGATTGGGTGCTTGCCTAGAATGCACGAAGCTGTGCTTCTAATCCCCAGCAAAATACACACACACACACACACACTCACAAAGTATCCTTTGGCTCTGACTGGGTCAGCGGGAGCCAGACACCCCTAGGTCTGTTTGTCGGTGGGGTGACAAATGAACTTGGCCTGAGAAATGGAATGAGCTGGGCTCAGCCCTGTGGAGAACCCAGAGTTGCACATTTTCTTTGTTAAGCTGGTCCGCAGTTTGTTTTGAGAATGTCCGAGGGGCCCACAGAGGGAGCCGATTAAAAGCGAGAGCTCATTTTGATATCTGAAAACCACAGCCACTGCACGTGGGAGGTGCCTGGAGAGCAGGCTTGGGCCCTGCCTCACACGCCCCCCTCTCCCTGGGTCACCTGGGAGTGCCAGCAGCAATTTGGAAGTTTGCTGAGCTTGAGAAGTCTTTGGGGAGGGCTTGCTCTGAGCACACCCCTTTCCCTCCCCCAGGGTTGAGGGAAACATGGGACCAGCCCTGTCCCAGCCTGTCCTCATTGGCTGGCATGAGGCAGAGGGGGCTTTAAAAAGGCGACTGTGTCTAGGCTGGGGACTGGAGCCTGTGCTACTGGAAGGCTGGGTGCCCTCCTCCAGCTGGCACCATGCAGCTCTCTCTAGCCCTGTGTCTCGTATGCCTGCTGGTGCACACAGCCTTCCATGTGGTGGAGGGTCAGGGATGGCAGGCCTTCAAGAATGACGCCACGGAAATCATCCCTGAGCTCGGAGAGTACCCTGAGCCCCCGCCAGAACTGGAGAACAAGACCATGAACCGGGCGGAGAACGGAGGGAGGCCTCCCCACCACCCCTTTGAGGCCAAAGGTATGGGGTGGAGGAGAGAAATGGTAGCCTAAGGGTCTTGGGGGTGGATCTGGGAAGATTTTAGAATCCTCTCTTTGGAGGCTTTGGAGACTGAGGTAGAAGTCAGCCATAGGTGCTGGGAGGCTTGCCTGGAGACAGGGGAAGGGTTGCCATTCCCCACCCCCATCCCAGCCTCAGTGTACCGGCAGGGCTGGTCATGAGAGCCAAGGGCAGGGAGGGAGGAGGCTGGGATGGAGAGTTAGGACAGATTTAGGGGTTCCAAAAATGGCTCAAATAATCCTCTCCTGAGAATTCAGGAGTCAGGTCCAGCTGCTGGCACCAAGGAGGGGTAGTGGCACCTGCTGGATGCCAGACACTGGCTGCACACATCCATCTCGTGGAAGTCCCAGGAGGTGAACTCCCAGCTTGAGGGCAAAGAAACCGAAGCTCCAAAAATTAAGTCACAGCCTAGCAGAACTGAGATTCGAATCCAGTTTGATGCAAACCCAAGACAGTCCTGGTCGGGGAGAGTGGGGATGTGGGTGGGGACTGAGACCCCTCTTCTTTTGAAGCAGTGGGAAAGGGAAGCTACAGAGGCCCCCTTCAGCGCCACTTGCCCAGAGGTCTGGCACTTGAAGGAAGGGGAATTGTAGGTGCAGTTTTAGCATCTGACATGGGTGGCAGCTGAGTCCAGGTCCTGGAGGAGAGGCCGTATCCCCTGTGCAGCAGTGGACATAGGTGGCACCATCTGTCCCAGGCCTTTGCCCCAGACAAGTTTTGCCTTATTCCTGGGGAGGGAGCCTGACCCTATGAGAAGGCAATGGGCCTGGAGGAGGCTGAATTGGGGTTCCTGGTCAGGTCTGCAAGAGAAGCGGGGTAGGATGGGGCTGCACAGCTGGCTCTGCACCTGGCAGGGATGGCTGGGGTAGGGGCTGGAATGACGTTTCAGAGGGCCTCACTGCTCTCTGGCTGCTTTCCATGTGCCAGAGGGGCCCACTGCCCAGGCTGCTGCTGCCTGCCACCCTTCCCTGCCTCACAGCCTGCAGGGCTTGTGGGTAAAGGGACCCTATGGGAGGCCAACCAGGGTTTGTATCTTCTAAAATGAGAGAGGGGGACAAAACACCCTCCTCCTCAACTCCCCACATATACAGTCAGCCGAGCTTAAATGACTGCTTACAGGGATGTAGGGGACCCTGAATACAAGAAGCCCACTTCCCTGGGATCCCAAGAAAGGTCACAGCCCCTGAGGAAGCCAAGCACTCAAAACAAAGTCTTGCTTTGCAGAGGAAATGCCTGACCTTGGGGCACTATTGGAAAGCCCCCAAACACCTCTTTCCTGGGCAAATAGGTCACCCCCACACAACACCCCTGAAGGTGTTGGTGAAGATACCAAACCAGGCCAGAACCAAGAAAGCCAGCCACAGGAGGTGGCAAAGTCCCACATATCCCCTGCTGGGCTTGTTCTCCAGGGTCTGGGACAGGACCCTCTCTAGTCTGGGTCACAGGATTCTTTTTTTTATCTTTTTGTGTCAAAATGGAACTGACCCTATGAAACCTTTGGGGGTGGACAGGTGCTCACATGAGGACCAGCTGTTCAAAAAGCTCTCACCCATCTAAACCTACAGTGGGTCAAGGTGTACACAGAGGTCCAGGCCAGGTCCCAGCAGGTTTCCTCCCACCCAGGGAGCAGGTTTGTATCATGATTAGGTGTCTATCAAGTGACCCAGAACAAGAGATGTGCCCAGCAGAGAGCCAGGTATACAGAAAGTGCTTAATCAATGTTTGTGGCAGCTGAAGGTATAGGCTTTGGGTCACAGCTCTCTCCTTCTCTGGTAATTTGTAAAAATCAGCCCTCTGGACCCTCTCCTCCAGCTCAGTCTCCCATGGATGCCTGAACAAATTGCTTCCACCCAAGAAGGAGCCAAAAGGTGCTGAGCCCCTAAAGAGGGGAGTCAGGAGGCCCACTCTGTCTTTTGGGCAAGTTCTTGTCTCTCTCTGGATCTCAGTGTCCTCATTGGTAATGAGGGGGTTGGACATACTGCCTTTGGTTCCTTTCAAGTCTAATGAATTCTTATCCTGACCACCTGCCCTTCTATCCCTCTCCTCCCTAGCAGCTGTCCTGATTTATTGCCTTCAATTAACCTCTACTCCTTTCTCCATCTCCTGTTCAACCCTCCCAAGTGGCTGGAAAAGGAATTTAGGAGAAGACAGAACCATGCAGAAGGTGTGGCTAGTACTTACCCTGTTCAGGTCAGGGACCCTGCCACACAGGTGTGGCTTAAATAAAATCAGAAGAGGGCCTTTAGGAGGATAATAATAATACACAATGACAGTCAACATGTCCAGCTCTCCCCATGGGCTGCACAAATGGTATTCTGTGCATTCTATATGTAGTGGATTGATACACTGAATCCCAGGACAACCCCTTTTACAGACTGAAAGAGGAAAGGTAAAGTAAGTTGCCCAAGATCACTGGTGTAGTTAAGTGATGGTGCCTTGGTCGGATCCAGCAGTCACTTGCTCCAAGGAGAGCCCCAGATCTTCCCATCAGCTCCAGGAGTATCTGGGGCCTTCCTATCATAGGTGCACAGGTGCAAAATCCTCTGGAGGGGGCAGGAGAGGCAGGTTGGGAAAGTGGAGGCCGGGTGGAGAGAGCCGGACCGCGGCCCTGACGCGCGCTTCTCTCTGCAGACGTGTCCGAGTACAGCTGCCGGGAGCTGCACTTCACCCGCTACGTGACGGACGGGCCGTGCCGCAGCGCCAAACCGGTCACCGAGCTGGTGTGCTCGGGCCAGTGTGGCCCCGCGCGCCTGCTGCCCAATGCCATCGGCCGCGGCAAGTGGTGGCGCCCGAGCGGGCCAGACTTTCGCTGCATCCCCGACCGCTATCGCGCCCAGCGGGTGCAGCTGCTGTGTCCCGGCGGCGCGGCACCGCGCTCGCGCAAAGTGCGCCTGGTGGCCTCTTGCAAGTGCAAGCGCCTCACCCGCTTCCACAACCAGTCGGAGCTCAAGGACTTCGGGCCCGAGACCGCGCGGCCGCAGAAGGGTCGGAAGCCCAGGCCCAGCGCCCGGGGCGCCAAAGCCAACCAGGCGGAGCTGGAGAACGCCTACTAGAGCCCGCCCGCCGCCCCTGCCGGCGCCGCGACCAGGCACACCCTGTTCATGCCCCCCGAGCGTGGTTCGATTGTTTGTATTTCATTTTTAAATGCCTGTAACTAGGGCAGGGAGCCGAAACCTCCCAGGCAGTGCGGAACCCCGGGTGCCCGCAAAGTCCCCCTCGCCCGCCCCTCCAGCGGGTCCCCCAAGGCAGGGGAGGGAGCCGAGAGTCAGACACTGAGCCACGCAGCCCTGCCCACCGGGGCCGCCTACCTTTGCTGGTCCGATTCAGAGGAGGCAGGAATGGAAGCTTTTTTTTTTTTTTTTTTTTAACCACCCCGGGGCTTTAGGGAGCAGTGGGGAGTGTGGAAAGGTTGGGGACTGGTTCAGAGAGTTCGATAAAATTCCCCCTCCACCTCTCTACCCACCAGAAAGCCTGTGTGTGCCAAGAACACAGGACTAGATATGGTTTCTAGTCTTGGATCTGCCATTAACTCGCAGTGTGACCTTGGACTACAGGATTCTCTTTGGGGACTTCAATAATCTCTTTGTAAAATGGGGGTGAGGTTGGGATTAGTATCTCCAGAACTATGTACTGTAACATGATCCCAAGTGCCCTTTGAATGGGCAGGCGGTGGCAAAAGAGAAGAAGTGGGGGGGGGGGGGATTGGATTCATTCAGTGCCAATGCAACTTTCCAAATTCAGAGTTGTGTTGCTCTGGTCTGACAGCCCACATAGAAAACAATCAGGAAAAGAGAGTGTCTATTTATGGTTGACAAATTTCTGCAAGAAGCTGTGCTGCTTGACAGCTTGGCCTCCCCAGATATTTGACTACCTCTGCCTGGTCCATCTCAAAGAAAGAAGAGGTAGAGAAGAAGAGGGTCCCAGAGATGGTGAGAGAGACAGAGAGCCCACCCCCATTCCCAAAGAGCAGCGTCCCCCACTTGCCCCATTGCCACAATTTAAAGTCACCTTCTACAGAGAAGTTCAAGGTTAGAGGACCAGAAGAGAGCAGCCACCACCCATCGAAGACCAGCATGTCCCTTCCCAGGCATCTCCTGCTGCCCACCACTCACAGACATATTTCTGTCTAGAAAATAGTTTCTTACCGCTCCCACCTGTGATGGTTTATCTTACATTAAAGGAATATTATTGGGGGGCGGGTAACGAGTGCTGTACATACGCTGGGAAATTACAAAGCATAAGAGCTGCCACCCACAAATCTTTTTTTGAAAATCATTTCCAGACCCCTCTTACTTTCTGTATAGTTTTTAATTGTTAAAGGAAAAAAAAAAAGAAAATCTTAAACAGAAGCATATGCCATGTGAAAGCCTGTCGGGCTGGTTGTTTTGCAATCCTTCCACGTGGGATTTGTCCTTAAGAATGAAAGTAGTAGTTTTTAAAGAGTTAAGTTACATATTTATTTTCTCGTTTAAGTTATTTATGCAAAAGTTTGTCTTGTAGAGTGACAAAGTTAATATTGCTTTATAAAATACCAGTCTGTTCTTTCAGAGTCCAGAGGCATTGTTAATAAAGACAATGAATCCTTACCCAGAGGATGTGGTCTCATTTTGTCAACCACATACAATGTCATTTCTGTCAGGTAACACCCTTCTCATGGTCACAAGGCCCAAACCTTGTGAGGCACCTTTGACTGTTCTTTGGTGGCTCTTGTGGCAATTATGTTCTTCCTTTGAAAAGTCATGTTTGTTTCTTCCTTTCCAAACCTACACCTCATCCCTCACTGGGTCATTGTCATAACCTCATCATGGTCTCTCCCTTGAGCAGCCTGCCCTCCACACTGTCTTCCAAAAATGCTGTTCTCACTCCCGTGCCCAATCCTTCAACAGCTCCTCTTCCCAGGATTAAGTGTGGGCTCTCAGTTTGATGTGTCGGGTCTTCCTCCGCTTGATTCCCATCCCCCACTCTGCCAAGTGTCCCTCCCGACTCCAAATGGCCACACTGATCCCAGCCTCCTTAGTTCACAGTCTCTACTTACTACCCCAAGAATTCCTACTCTTTAGAGTTCATATTACATGTGACCTCTTCTCTGAACCTTCCAGAGATATTCCAGTCTCTGGTGAGCCTCTCTCCTCTGATGTCCCAGCCCCTTTGTCCACGCCACTACTTTGGTTTCTAATTCTAGGCCTTCCATTGGACATTCTTGCCCTGGCTATCCTGGCCAAGTGCTCCTTAGTGCTGAGATAAACACAAAGGCAGGTACACCCCAGGGCCAATTCACAAGAAGCTCAGTGGAGCTTTCTTTTCCAAATGTGGATTTTCTGCTTCCAGTAAGATCTTCAAAAGAAGAGATAATGTCTGACATCTCCTTCAAAGGCTTGTCCTCCTGTGGTGCTTTCTAGTGCTGCATACTTCCTGGGACTCAGTAAATGCTCTATGATTGCAATAAGGAGGGATGGTCAACTGCAAAGTTTTCAATCAAGTCCAGCCTGTCTTGGGGAACCCCACCACCCAAAGTAAGCTCTAGTCCTTCTTCATGGCTTTTCCAGTTTAACTACCAACAACTCCATATAAATTATTTATCAGCATCAGCAATGGAGACATTGTCTGGCCTCAAGAGGCAGTGTGGTACAGTGGGCAGGGACACAGCCTCTGCAGCCAGGTTTGTGTTTGAGGAGACTGAGGCACCAAGGGGCTAATTGTTTCCCTGCAGCAGACCTGGGCTCATTTCCTGGCTCCCACACTCACTCAAGGTGCTCAGAGTCTGGTGGGTTGTGGGTGAGTAGTCAGTTCACATAACAGGCTTAGTATTAAGTGCCCACAGGAAACTAGGAAGAGGAGCAAGTAGGAGCTGGGAGTGGAGTCAAATACTGTCAGTCATGACTGGAGAAGGGGCAATGAATGTCAAGGAGAAAGAGGCTGGTCCCTGTAAAGGTAGCATGGACTCCTTTGGGAAAGACTGATTTTTTTTTTTTTTTACCGTTCTCTTACCCTATTTCCAATTTCCCTATAATCATCTGGAGTGCCTGATGGGGTGTTGCCTGTTAAAGAGGTCAGAATTGGCAGTCATCAGCTGTAGGTAGGAGAAGAAGCATCCTTGGGTGTGGGGGGGGGGAGAGCAGGAAAGGGAGGCGGACAGGTGAAAGACCCAGACCACAAACCTGCCCTGCCTCAAGACACCCTGAGGGCCTATCTTGTCTTCACGTATAATGCAGAGGCAGGAAAGATCAGTAGAGGGAGTAGAAGAAAGAAGAGGGTTCAGATGGACAGGAGAAGAGGAAAACCAACCCCTCGTGAAGTCCACAGACCAGTGCTGGAAGAGAGGTGGGTGTTAGATGGCATTATGATTTGGAATGGTTAAGTATGTCCCAACCACCGAGGCTTCATGTGCTGTAATTTAATCCCTGTTGTGAGGTGTTAAAGTGTAGAAATTGCCAGGAGTAGTGGGGCACACCTGTAGTCTTAGTGGCTCAGTGGGCTGAGGCAAGAGGGTTGCAAGTTCAAAGCCAGCCTCAGAAACTTAGCGAGGCCCTAAGTAACTCAGGGAAACCCTATTTTAAATAAAATATTTAAAAAGGCTTGGGATATGGCTCAGTGGTTAAGCACCCCCGGGTTCAATCCCTGGTACAAAAAAAAAAAAAAAAGGTAGAAACTTAATCCAACTCTAGTGTTTATCAGTGGGGTTTTGAGGAAGTGACTGGGGTTAGGTAAAGTTCCTAGGATGGATCCCCATGATTGCATTCTGGTGACTACATAACAAGGGGAAAAGAGACATACATGCACACTTAATCTCACGTCATGTGATAAACCTCCTCAATACTGCCAGCGAGAAAGCCACCATCAGATTCGCCCCCCGCCTTGGGCCTCCAGAATCATGAACCAAAACAGACCTCTTTTCATTGGAATGTATCAAGTCTGGATGATGTTATTAGTAACAGAAAACAGACAAAGATGGATAACAAATAAATGTATACCATAAGATCTGCGAATGAAAATTCTATAAATAAAAATACAGCTAGCCAGTGAGCAGATAGAGCCCTGCAGTGGCCAGGCCAGGCCCCGCTGAGGAGGTGGCATTTGAGCTGAGAGCTAAATGCAGTGAGGCATTGATGGACCCTATGAAGCCCAATGTGCAGAGAGAGAGAGAGAAAACAGCAAGTACAAAAGCCCTGAAGGCATGTACGGGGAGGGGAAGGGACACCGCTAATTGCCTTGGGTGTCTTTCAGACGTCTCCATGCCAAGGTTGCTAACCGGTGATCTGGAAGCCAGAGTAGTAATTATAATTATAGAGGGGAGATGTGTGCGTGCGTGCTTATCTGTGTGTGTGTGTGTGTTTGTGTGCACTTGTGTAAGACTCTCTGTATGTTCTCCTGATCCTGGCCCTGTAGATTAAAGGCCCCAGAGAGGCCCAATGTGCATATTATTAATGACATTGCTAGGAAGACCTTTTCCTTAAAGCTTTTGTTTGCATAAGGAAGGCTGTCAGCGTTGGGCAGATAGATGTATTACAACAAGAAAACCGATGCCCTTGAATTCCTTCTAGGACACACCTATACCCTGAGATTCATAGGCAGTTGTAGGAAACCCTGTCGCTCCCATTTCGGATGCCTACCAAATCCAGGCTGGGATGGAGCTGAGGGTTTGCTGGTCCGGGAAGGTGCATGAACGTATTGCTTGTTCCTTCCTGCTGCAGCTCTACCCCAGACATCAAAATATATCTAGATGGGCCTGGGATGTAGCTCAGTGGCAAAGCATCTGCCTTGCATTTGCAAAGCCCTGGGTTCGACCCCCCAGTTCCAAACAAACAAGCAAACAAAATATATCTAGATGGATTGAGCCAAGCCCAAGGGCCAGGGGTGGGGAAGGATAGGTGGTATGTGTGTGTGTGTGTGTGGGGGAGATCCACAGGCTAAGAAGGCATCTAGAAATGAACTTCTTTGTGGAAAGATTCTTGTTTCTCTGGGTAAGAACACTGTCAGCAGTGAGCAAGCTCAAGTCACATCACCCGCTGCAAACCCCCTTTGAGACAACTTGGTATCAATCTGCTCTTGAATTTGCACCTAGTCTCACTCCCGTGGTGGGTGGCGGTGTGCATGTGCACGTGCAGGTGGTTATCAGATGTCCAAGAATGGTTTTGATGTCCAAGGCACTGAACCATGGAGGTCTAGAAGTCACATTGGGTCAGAAAGGAAGCCACTTCTGAACAAGACAGAGCCCCATATCTCCAGGGACACCACACAAGAGTCCAAGACCTTGCCTCAGCTCTGTCCAGAAGCCAAAAGAAGCTCAAGTAGGCAGGGTTTTCTCTATGCATTCACCTTTGGGGTCCCCTGAGATCTTTCTCCAGCCCTCTTCCATCTGGGGGAGCTATGAGGGAGTATACAGGCTGGCTTAGAATCTCTGCTGCCAACCCCCTCCTTTGGTGGACCTTTCTTTGCTTTTTTTTTTATGGTCCTGGAGATAAAACCCAGGGCCTCCTATAGGCTAGGCAAGTGCTCTACCATGGGGCTACATCCCCAGCCTCTGTTTCTTTCTTTCTTTTTAAATGTATTCTTAGTTGTTGATGGATCTTTATTTTATTCATTTATATGTGGTACTGAGAATTGAACCCAGTGCCTCACACATGTGAAGCAAGCACTCAACAACTGAGCCACAACCCAAGCCCTCTTCTTTTTTTAGTATAAAACCAATAGAACATCGTAGATAAAGTTCTCTTTGTCTTTCTTGTGTTCCCCTCCCTCTCCGTGTGTTTCCTTCTCTCTCTAGAGGCAACAATCCATGTTTTTATGCTTTTGTAAAACAAATATGTCATTTATAAACAAATACAAATGTGTGTTTTGAAATTCTATATACATTTTGTCATACTGTACATTTTCTGAATCTCACCTTTTTTTACTCAAAATTGTGCTTTAAGATCTAGTCATATTGGAACTGGACTCAGTAGCACATGCCTGTAATCCCAGAGATTCAGGAGGCTGAGGCAGAAGGATCACAAGTTCCAAGCCAGCCTCAACAACTTAGGGAGGCTCTAAGTAGCTTAGTGAGACCCTGTCTCAAAAAGGGCTAGGAATTTAGGTCAGTAGTAAATTGTTCCTGTGTTAAATCCGTAGCGCAAAATATAGATAGATAGGTAGATAGACATATTAGACTATTTTAAACTATTAAGCAGTATTATATTTTATGACTATACCCCTATTTGTTTCTCCTTTTTCTACTGATGCTTTTCACCATCACAAGCAATGCTGTAAGGAAGATGCCTGCATTGGTTCCATCATATAATACAGGCCAGGGTTTCTTCAAGATACAGAGGAGTGAGTGTTTGCTATGGTTTCAATGTCCCCACCAAAACTCATGTTGAAATCCAGTTTCCATCGTGAGGTATTAAAAGATGGGACCTTTAAGAGGTGATTAGATTAATTCATTCACAGATTAGTATATTATTGTGGGAGTGGCTTTGTTATGCAAGCAAGCTGACTCTGGTATGTTTGCATTGTCTTGCCATGTGATACCCTCCACAATGTTCTAATCTAGCAGGAAGCCCCTCACCA